AGCTCCTTCATCTCTTAACCGATTTGAGATCTAATTACAGTTTTGGACTCATAAGGCCAAACCCTTTCAACTGATGTTGTTGACCACGCTCAAGGTCTCATAGATTAATTTATTCTAATCCTATCTAAAATAATTTCAATTTTAGGGTAGGCTGGTAGAGATCCTGATTAGAAATGAAATCGAATCGGGTATACGCGCGCTCCACGCATGGTATTGCTGCCACATAAAAATATAGCTAATAAAAAGGAAAAGAAGGTCTCAGATTAATTTAATCTAATCTTGCCTAAAAGATTTTTCAAGTGCTGCGGCTATTGGGGATTCCCTCGTGTTTTTTATCTATTAAAATAAAAACATTTTAGATACATGCAAGAAATGCCTATTGGAAAACTGAGACTATTCACCTAATCCAAATGGATGATTATAAGAAAGCATGTTAATTCCCTCAATCTTGAAACCAAAGATATATTAAAAGTGGCCTGGATTAAAAATATATCAGGATTAAACTCTAAGGAAGCCAGAAGAGTTGTCGTGTGTTTCAGAGTCAACGATACAGAGATAGTCAGATATGGCCCATATGGGTCAACGGTTAACTTACGGACTTACACCGCTAAAGTACGGGGTTCGATTCGTCGTGGTGTTCAGAGTGCAAATGGCCCACTGCGTATCTTTGTGCTACATTATGACAACCGCAGAATTCAGATATTAAAACGTGTTTCTAATATATGAATATTAAGACGAATCTTCTTGATTCATATAATACATTTCTTAAGCTATAAAAAATTTGTTTTAGAGACGAAGTTCTGTATGTACTTCAATCTGACTACTGGAAAAAAGTATGGTCGTTGACTATTCATAATTATTCGTGAAATTGGGATTTTCGAATTTTTACGTTGGAAAAATATCTTAAACTGTAAAAAGGAATAATATATCTTTCTAATAAGGAACTTTCTCGATTCTCCCCGGTAGGATATCGGTAAGTCTACGTACTTACAACGCTTAAATCCAGGGGTCGATTCCTCCTCGGAGGACGCAGCAGATGATCCAATGTGACTTTGCTCAAAAACAAATGACCAACCTCTGTGGCAATGCTGTCCTCTGTTGTTCATGCTGGATAAGTGACAAACATGGAATACTTTCTGACCTGACCTCATTCTGTTTGGTTTTCATAAAAACAGTAGAAGGTTCCAGCAAAAAAGGAAATGGGGGTCGAGATTATAACAGGTACCTACACACATCAGCTGACTCAGGTTAGATCACACCGAATATTACCATCGATTCTTAGCCTATAACAAATATTCCTTTGTCCTTGCATAAGGACTTTATTTCAGCGACAAGTTTAATAAAATCCAATCCAAAGGCATGGTAGTAATTTAGGTTAAAACGTATTTCATTCACCTTCGAGGAGTGAAATATAGTGAAGAGTTTCTCTTCACTCCACTGCGTGATTTAGCATTAAGTGGTGCCTGACTTTAAGAATTTAGTATTATCGTGAGTGAGAAATGATATTATTGTATCGGGAGAAGCTGTGAAGAGATCTGGAAATAAGATGAAGAAGACCTTTATTAGACTGTTTGTTGACTGCTGGAGAATGGAGAAGTTTCTGTGGACGAAGCACATGCGTCTGTTGATACGCATGGTGGTGACGTCAGTCGGCAAGAGCTGTCGTTGAGTAGAGCAGGTAGATGTAGACCGATCATATCCGATTCTGTTTAAAATATTGAACATATATTATTTAAAATTAGTTTCTCATCTTAACTGATTTGTTAATTTTTAATTATTTTCCGTGTTAGAACATTTCAAAAATTTGGATTTCGTTTTAAGCAAATATTAAGACGGCCCTTTTCAGGGCTGGGATCTATGGATCCAAAGCTGAATGGAATTTTTTCTGTGGGAGGAAACGGGAGTACCCCGAGAAAACCCACTTTAACGGCCAGAGTGCCGAATAAAATTCCCCTGACTGTGCCCGGAAAAAGCTGCGAAAAAAAAAAGACATGGGTTAATATACACGGATAGATACACTTGATAATTTTAGGTTAGAAAAGGCCGGGCGGCTGAAAGGTTGAAGTGAAGCTAGGTGAATCTTGGTCGTTGTCTGGCTCACTTGGGCTAGGATGGATCATGCGCAGATGATATTACTCTACTTCCGTAGAGTGATATTACATGGTTCAGTAGAGGCTTCAGTCTACAGGGTGTCGGAGGCAGATGTCTTTCGGAGGATCTTGTTCATCTTCGGGAGTCGTCGTCATGTTGGACCTCAGTTTGGATACGTCTGTCTCTCTTGGCGATCCGTGTCTGCGTTTCTTGGCTGATTAGGTGAGGGCTGTCCGTGGAAGTGGAGGCGTCACACTTGCTGATTTGAGGTGTTGTAGTCTGGGTCTGTTGTGAGATCTTCATGAGAATAGTTATCTGCGTGTTCTTGTCGGTGGCATCGGATATGGCTCTGTTAGCGGCTGGTGGTTCTGTGTGAAGCTTCGATGATTTATTGGTTTGAGATGAGCGAGGAAAAGACTTGCTGGTTGTGTAAGAAAAATGGGCGTCGGTGCGGGCGTTTGGCTCTGAAATGGAAAAAGTTATAAAAACAGCCATCAATAAGAACATAGTTTGCTGTGAGTTTATGCCGTGACTACTTTGATGAACTGGGTGGTTTGGCCTGTTGTTCTTCAACGGATTCTTGGACCGCATGTAATTTCGTCTTGGTGGTTTCTTCTAAGGACTGTTGAATTATGTCTGGTGTTATGGTGGGGTCGACGCCCCTAAGAAAAACAGAAAAAAGGTTATTGAAACTCTTGTAGTTGCGCAGGTTACATTAGGGTAAGCATTCTATGGCTTACAAAGTATGAAAAGTCAGCTTAGGTTGAGGTTTGGAGAAAAATTCTACCTCGTCGTGTGGTCTTTGTAGGGTCGATGGATACTCCAGGTTTAAATTTGTCGATTTGGCTTGGTTCTTGATGTAGAACTAGCCGGCTTGGGAAACATCATGATAGGCATAGTTTAATACAAGTTTCTGGTTTTCACCACTCGGGTACTACTTTCTGCCTCGCCCTTATACACTACAGCCTAGGTTTTCATGCATTACTACTGCATTTTGGATTTAAGTAATGCTAAGAAAGTATTTGGTAGAATTCTGTGCCTATTAAAATATTTCAATATGCAAGACTGAAAATATTCTATCATGACTAAATAGAACCCGAGGTACACTCACTTTATGTTTATTAGGATATTAAAGTTACTGTCTGTATATTTCATTGAATGCTGATAATTTCACTCACTCATGAATTTTTGAATTTGATCCAATTGAAATTTCTTTTGCATTACGCTTTATGAGAAACATCAGATAAAATTGTGTCATGAGAAGCATCAGGTAAGACTCTGTTTCTCTCAGATGTAATGTGAATCTTTTTTTAATGTCAAAATTGAAACATTCACTTTCTAATTGTAATGAAATTAATAGATGTAATTTATTTTCAAATAATACCTTCCAGGTGAGTTATCATAATTAAACATGAATTCTCAACATCGAAATCAAATCCTTAATCTTCATGCCCATGTTGCGTTCTGTTGATTGACTTTATATAATGTTCATACACATGTTTACGACCACACATGTATATTTATTTATATACAAATATCACCAAAACATACTGTCAACTACTTTAGTCACTTATGATAGATCACCCTTGTGAATTACTTCATCAACCTTCTTGGGTTACCTTTTGAATCTTCATTTTAATAGTGACGGCGTTACTATCTGTGAGTCATGAAACTCAAATATTTTTTTCATTTCAGTCATCCCAAAATATATATTCGCTGGCAAAATTTGGATGAATTAAGAGTTTTTAGGAAAAAGCCCAATCGGCCATTATATATATATATATATATCTCCACAGCAATGTGGGTCCTACTTCCGTAGTCACCTCCAAAATCCAGGGCACATTTTATATCACACATTACAGCCTGTACCCTGGGATCCTTTCAATTTATTCAGCGTTCTCAATTTAGTTTTTGTTTGGAACTGTTTAGTTTATTAAAATGTCGTTCATCACAAGTTTGGATTTGCTGTTTTTAACGCGGTCCTTCCTTTTTATTTTTGATTAACTGTTTAAGTACTAATTTTTTATACATATATTAAGTACGGTAATAATTAATAGTAGGGATCGTGAGGAAATAAAATGTCGGCCATAAAAATCGTCTGCTTAATACCATCTTTAAAATGTCTGAATATTAATAATGACTATCTCACAGTATTGGCTGAGCAAAACTAAAGCTTATTTATTGGACTTATAAAGTCACCTAAATCGCTATATACGTGTTTATGGAGTGAATCAAAATTTCACTATTTCAACGAATTTTCATCTAATTAAGTGACGTTTTCAGACAAGCGCACACACCATGTCACTCTAATTCTTTCACAGAACTCTTCGTCTGGAGTCCCAATGATTCCTTTCTTATACCGAAAAGGATAGTAGTATGTATATATAGAACAGGCGATGCGCTACTTTGGGCATTTAATTAGATTTGAGGTTAGATTAGTAAAGATCCTGATGAGTAATAAAATCGAATTGGGTATACGCGCGCCCCACACTCGGTATTGGTGGCGCACAAAAATATAGTTAATAAAAAGGAAAGAAGTATAATTTTTTTTCCAATTTTATAAAGACAAGTAGGATTCGATATGTACGTAACCTAGCTAGCTAGCTATAGTAATATAGAAAGTTTTAATATTATAAAAAGTATTGAAACAAGAAATTTAAAAACTGAGTTACTTAAAATTTATAAACTTTCATCTCTGCTTTAGCAAATCATTGTAATTATGTTAGTTTGAGCCAAAGTAGGGATACATTTGTTTAAATTTTAAGTAACTCAGTTTTTA